TACGCTCGTCGGAGGGCTCGGCCTCCCTCCCGGAGGAGAAGATGGACGAGCCAAAAGGAGATCGCGGAGAAAAGGGAAAGGGCAAGGGAGAGTAGATAGGATATAGGAACAAAAGAAGATTCAAGATCCCCAACGGCCCTCCGGGTTGGCACTGTTATATTATGCAGAGCGCCCGAAGACAAAGCGACAGGATACGTCGAGGAAACCGTTAAAAAGTTTACCGGACGAAAGGCCGATGATCAAGACGAAGAGGAAGGGAAGGAAGGGTAGAGATGACGTTAGCTTTGACTTGGACGATGAGAAAGGAGAGAAGGAGGACGAAAAGGTGGAAAAAGAGAGAGAAGAGGAGGGAGAGGCGTATGGAAAAGGAGAAAGAGAAGGACGAGACTTACGAGAGAGAGAGACGATCGTCTACGAAGCACGAGGAGTGTAAATAATACTAAGGCTGATTGTGGGCGTGGCTGACAGAACTCTAAAAACCTTCGACTATATATCAAAGGGTTTACTGCCCTTGGATGATTCTCTCTCGTGGTGGAGAAGAGACGCTGGAAGAACAAATACTGGACTGCCGTGTGCGAGAGTAGTGGAAAGAAGCAGAAGTAATTCTGACGGTGTGGACGAGAAGACGGAAGAGAGAGGGAGGTCGGAGAGGAAGAAGAAGAATTTCGCGTCCGAGGATGCGGCGCGAGAGGATTTGGAGTAGTCTCGAAAAGGAAGTCCTGCCGTTACTCTCGTACATTATTGCCGTTACTGGTGCACCGTGAACAGGATTGGTTGCTTCTTTCGCCTCTGCCTCGCCTCATAACCCTCTCGTAGCTTCTATTTATCGACTGTAAGATGCCTGGCCTATGTCTCAATACCCTCGCGTCGTTTCTCCACGGCGGCGACGAAGGCGTGTGAGAGACAGCGGGAAACGCTGAGAAGAATGAATTGTCTTTTGAACGAGTATGACTCTACATTATAAACGCATGCGTTGAAAAAAAATTCATATTATTTACTCGCTATAAAAATTATTACAGATATTATCTGTAAATTACTCAAGTTATAATTAAATCTATTAAACAATAAGATGCAGGTCTGTCTATTCATCAGTCGGGGGATACCTATGCGTCTTAATACATCCCGTGCCATCCGATCGATCGTTTAAGTAGGATGGTGGAGAAGAAAAACAAGGAAAGAGGAATACAACGAGGAGGAGGAGGAGCAAGGAGGTGTGGATATCCGTGGTATCCACTCTTTCCTCTGTTCTTTCCAGAGTCGACGGACGTTTGGAACTACCTCGACTGCCCGCTTGCCTGGTTGCTGGCCTGAGTTGCTCGCCTGGCTAAC